GACTAGACTATAGACTAGACTATAGACTAGACTATAGACTAGACTATAGACTAGACTATAGACTAGACTATAGACTAGACTATAGACTAGACTATAGACTAGACTATAGACTAGACTATAGACTAGACTATAGACTAGACTATAGACTAGACTATAGACTAGACTATAGACTAGACTATAGACTAGACTATAGACTAGACTATAGACTAGACTATAGACTAGACTATAGACTAGACTATAGACTAGACTATAGACTAGACTATAGACTAGACTATAGACTAGACTATAGACTAGACTATAGACTAGACTATAGACTAGACTATAGACTAGATTAAAGACTAGACTACAGACTAGACCATAGACTAGACTATAGACTAGACTACAGACTAGACTACAGACTAGACTATAGACTAGACTATAGACTAGACTATAGACTAGACTATAGACTAGACTATAGACTAGACTATAGACTAGACTATAGACTAGACTATAGACTAGACTATAGACTAGACTATAGACTGGACTATAGACTGGACTATAGACTGGACTATAGACTGGACTATAGACTGGACTATAGACTAGACTATTGACTAGACTATAGACTCGATTAAAGACTAGACTATAGACTAGACTATAGACTAGACTATAGACTAGACTATAGACTAGACTGTAGACTAGACTATAGACTAGACTATAGACTAGACTATAGACTAGACTATAGACTAGACTATAGACTAGACTATAGACTAGACTATAGACTAGACTATAGACTAGACTATAGACTAGACTAAGAATTAGACTGTAGACTATACATTAGACAACAGACTGACTACTATGTGGACAGCTTATCAAAAGTTTATAAGTTAGAAAAAGTACTGAAAAAGTTTTGAAAAAAGGACTAAAGTACTGAATTTTCCATACCTGATGAACATTCCATTTTCAACCTAACCTAACTTAAAAATTGCAACAATGTTTTAGAGAAAAGATTCTGATATTGATAGCAACATCAATAGATCCAAAGGTTGCTATTCAAGAAACTGAATTGGTGCTATTTGCATTCATTCTAGAGCATATTTTTTTATTAAAAAAAAAATACTAAAATGATTCTTTTGACTTTATTTAGAAAACAAATTAAAAAAAAACCCTATAAATGATTAAGCTGGAATTAAAGATAAAATAAAAACACAATAAATATTTTTATTTAAAATATTTATTCAGTGCTGCACAGTTGTTTTTTTTTTTATTTTAATTATTATTCAGTATAATTTACAAACTATCAAAAAAGTATTATATATGAATGTAATAATTGTAGTAAGTTTGTATGTTTTAATTTAATTTTATTTATGTAAATTCACTTAAGTTTAGCTTCTGCTTAGAATACAAAAGTGATAAAATTTTATTATTTATTGCAAATTGTATACGTACATCAATTAATTTGTTTTTTTTTTTTTTTTTGTAATTAATTTTCAAATTAGTTACAACATTTAAAAAGAAAGTTGCCATGTAATAATGTTATTTAATAAATATTAAAGGAATTTACAGTTGCAATTATTAAGAGATCGTATAAATGTTTAATATCTATTTAAAAAAACCGATTGTACATTGTATCAAGAGATCATAATATCATGTTTAAATTCATTTCAATAGTATCCAATATTTAGTTTTGTTCAAAATCTTTTTATATTTAAGGCATTATATATTATAAATATTAATTTATAAAGTTTTTTTTATGATTTTTGTTTTAGTAAATATTATAGTTTTCTTTTTATTTATTTATTATCTTTTATAATTAAAACTGTAAATCCTTTAATTATACAAGTACTTATTGAAAAATTTTTCCAATATTTTATGTTATTTATTGCAATTTTATTCTATTTACTTAAATCTAATATTGAAAGGATGTTTTTTATATAATTTTTTTTTTTAACAACAACTGTGAAAAAAGTAATGATTATCAAAAAACTACAACTATATTCCAATAGAGAAATACAAAATTTCCAAAAAAAAAGTATATTTTTGTATAGATTTATTATATAAAAAAGAAGTAGAAAAATTACAACAAAAAATCGGAACTAATAGGTGGCATATTATAAGGAAACAAATAAATCATCTATAATAATTAACATCAAGTCTTTTAATTTCGAAATTGTTTATAAATTTTAATTTCTTTTTTTTGGTTGTATAAAACTATTAAATACATATAAAGTTTTAATAGAAATTTATTACGTGAATGGGGGTGAGTGAAGTGTGATTAGTGAGTGAGTTATTTAAACTATTTTTTATAAAAATTAAATAGTCTGTTTTTATAAAATTAATAAAATTATTCATAAAAGGACGAAAAGTTAAAATATTTAAAATTAATGCAGATTCGCCAAAATCCTTGAGAAATTTTGGTCTCTGGGTTAAAAATTTGTTGACCTTGCAATCAATATAGATTTTATAATTGAAGTAAAAAAATAGCCTCTGCTCTCCACTAAATATCTATGTAGAATCATAATTCCAAAAACTTTACAAGTGGAAAAACTGTAGATATGTACACCTAGTAGTCTCCTACCAGAGATATTGGACCTACGCGGAAATGTACCACTGCTTCATATGTTTACAGTTCTGCGAACTGATGAATTTCAGACTTATATTCACCAACTAAAAATTGAAGGACTGAGTGTTATGGGCCTTTAATAGATGTCATAGTTGAGTGATTGCTTAATATTAAATGAATTTCTAACAATGGTCCAAAATTTAACATAAACAGATTTAAATTACTTACATCCTGTAAAGGATATTCATCAGGAAAGAGAACTGTAAACATTTGTAAGCCACAGGTGTGTTGACAAATAGTTTGCAGTAAGTCAACTGTTATGATAATTCGATATTCCCTATGGAATTGGCGATAAAATATAAATGGAATTCCCAAACACAAATGGTTTGAACTGGATGAATTAAATATGAAGTTGGGACTCTAGTTGGACTTAATATTGTTGAGACAGACACAGTAGTCTGAAAGGAATCGGCGATACAATAGGAAAGGAATTCAAAAAAAAAAGAAAGAAATTGTTGACTCTTTGAAAACTGTAGCCGTTGGAATTGAATTCCCAAACACGAATAACTTGAACTGGATGAATCCAAGATGGAGTCCGGACTCTAGTTGGGCACAATAGTCTGAAAGGAATCGGCAATAAAATAGGAATAGAATTCAAAAACAAAAAAGAATTGTTGACTCGTTGAAAACTGCAGCCGTTGGAGTATTCAGTGATAGTGTATATAATGTCCAGGGCCAGGCATAAGACTGTCCTAGAGACTCGCTGAAGAATACAGCTTTTCGATCTACATATGTATATCTTGGTTATATTAGAGCCGAAGTCAATGGCATACATAATAACACACCTCACAGAGATACTATTTATGCCAATAGTTAGACAGAACTGAATTACAGTGGTTGTGAAGGACTCCAAAATCCTCTTTAACTTTACACTATATTTATTACAAAACTGTTAAAGTCCAGGTAGTTTGAGGTGGATATTACAACTATCAGAATACTAATGGGATCAGACAAGAATAGTCAGGGCCAGACACTAAAGAACACAGCTTCTTCGGGCTACATACATCATGGGGATATTAAGAGCATAGGCCAAAGGCTTACCTAAATGACATACCTCACAGAGGTACTATTTATGCCGATAGTTAAACGGAACTGAATTACCATGATAGTGGAGGACCCTAAAATCCTCTTTAACCTATAATTTATTACAAATATAGTGTAAACTTATAAATGATAAAATATGCGAACTGTACTGGTAGTTTGAGTAGGATACACAAGTACAATACTAATGGGATCAGACAAAAATAGTAAAAAACGAGATAGTGAGTAACATTTCACTTTGTTCAAGCATTAGCAAAGATGACAAGGAATGTCCGGTATCTGATACTTTTTACGCTTGACACTAGTTCTAGTAGAGTACTAGTAAAATCTGACGTTTAAGGTCAACAATGTTTCGGATTTCTGTGGAATTTCGATGATATTTGTGCAAAATGTGCTCTTTTGCACCGTTAGAAGAAAATTATAAACTAATAATTTTGGATGGATTTATGCAACGTTTGAAATACTTTCAAGACAGAAGAAATAAGTAAAATACTTAGGGCAGGTTTTTTGGATAAAGATTATCTAACAGCAAGTTAAGCCACGTTTAACTGTTTAGTTAGAAACCCGGCCAAAAGGAAAGAAACTAGAATTATTCATAGAATTGTCATGTAATAAGAATGATATATTCAATCCATTAGAGGAAACCAATAAAGTATCGAATCATTACGAGTCTTTTAAAGCATATAATAACACTGTGTGACAGCAAAAAGTTATTCAAACATGTGAACAAGTGCGGTTTGTAAATAGTTAAGTTGTTGGACTTAACAATTTTTAATCTCAAATTACTATTGTTTCTTGAAAGGGCAATAGAAAGACAAACTCTTCTACTAGTTTGTCACACGGTGTAATTATTAAATTTACGAATATAAGAAATTGAACCACAGATAAAGTTTAACCTTAGCCTCAGTTAAGAAAACATTTTCTTTTATGAAAAAAAAACTCACTTTTTAAAGATTTTGTAGAGTTTTTCATACAGAAAATTGAAAATTATTTCCTTAATAACCTTCTAAATAGGTTTAATTGTCATTTTTTAAATATATCTAATAAAAACAAACTAAAATTCTATGTAAAGCATATTTGTTTGCAAATATGAAACCGTGAAACTAAGACTAAGTGTGAAAAGGTGCTTTACATTTAATTAAAAAAATACAAAAAAAAAATAACTTTTTTAAAAACAAAATTAAAACTATAACAAGTAAAATATTTTAATACACCAACATACTTTATAAGAATGGTTATCACAGGGAGGTGGGACGATGACAGTATTAAAAACAAATAATAACAAAAATGGGTGGCAAACATTTGGGAGTCGTAAAGTGGGGAAACATTTATAAAGTCTAAATAAAGTAGCATGTAGGGCAAGGTTATGGTATATATAAGTAGTATTATACACAAACATATACATATTTATTTAGAGTGTATATAAAAAGGATAACAAAATAAAAACTAAAAAGTTTATAGAAAAAAATGTATAACTAAAGAATTACAAATAGATTACAGTAAAAAAAATCAAATGAAAATAACTTGGCATATTTTCATACATACAAAGTACAGTAAACAAACGTCAAAGGACGTTTAAATAAATATGAATGAATGTTTGTATGTAGGTCTATGTATGCATTTAAACTTTTTAGGGTTTATGGTGTATTAGTGATGATATTTTTTGGCTATGTAAGTGAAATTGTGTTATTTTTCATTTGTTAGTTTATTTCGTTTAAATGCTTTTAAAATTTGTTTAATTCTTTGTCAGTTTTATTTAGTAAAACCTGTAAAAATTGAGTGTGTCTTTTTTTTCGGCTAGTTGTTTTGTCAGTACAGTCAGACTTGAGCATTTAAGTTAAGTTGACTTCAGTTTTAGATGCGACACAAAGGATCCTGACTACGTAATTCAAACTGTCTGGTAGCTCCTACGAAAGGACCGATAAAGGCAGCAGGCAAACAGGATTGTTAGGACCTATAAATGAGTAAGAGAAAAAAATAAATTTAATAAAAAGGAATCGAATATCAAATCAAAATTTAAACAATATTAGTTAGAATTTAATTTGTAAGTTAATATCAATAAAATTTTTTATAAACCTCCAGTTAAAACTGCTATCACTTAATTCACTGTCAGAGTTTGGATAACGAGTTCTTCGACTTTCTAAATTACATATCAATTGGCTTGAGAAGAGTTCATGCATTATTGATTAGAAAGCTTTTAGAAGCCAAACCTCAATTAATAACAATTTACTGGAACTTTTTCGTTCGTAGAACAAGAATTGTTCTACAATTTTCACCCATATGTTCTGCATCGAGGAACAAGCCTATTGTTTCATTCCATTCTCAGTTTCACTAAAACTATTCTTATTGATCACAGCAGTTTTTCTTCAATATCAGCTGCATCCTTCCCATATCTAAGTTTATATCTCTACGGCTGCTTAATGAAAAGACTTTAAGGACAGATGATCGTGTCCTCCTGCGTCTCGGTTTGGAGACAACGAGAGACAACTTGATATGGAACTTAAGTTGCAGTAATCTAATCATATCTCTTTCTTTACCAACCTGTAATCCTTCCTCATTTAGTTGTAGAGATCAAACTGTGAACAAAAGATTGAACTTAAGTGTCAGTTATTCAAGTGAAAATTCTTCCGCCTCCAAACTTAATAGCGAATATGTTATCGTTTTTCGAACTGTGAAGCACAACTTGCTAACTATTAAACTTAATTCGCAATTACACAAGAGATTTAATAATCTCTTCCGCGTCGCGTCGCTTTCATCGTACTACGACGGGTTAGAGAGGAATCGCGTTGTGAACCACAACATTATAACTCCGTAAGTGACCATCCATATCTCTTGTCGTTTAATATTCTACTGATATCTTAGTTTGTTGCCTCCAATCCAATTGCCAAACAATCTTAAGGCTGTGGTGTCACATGCTTCTTTTGTTTGAGTGTCAGAACGATTCTACGTATTTCCAGGCATTGAGAATTGCAAGAGTTCCCCACAAAAATTGGATTTACGTCCTGGAACAAAGCAATTCGCAATCGGCAAAAGATTGCCGACTAATCAACAGGAAGTTTTATCCCAGAAGAACTTCCAACAACAGCGAAACTATTACAACAACAAAGATTAATACCATGTTCAGGTAATCGACTTATGATGGTCGAGAGGTGTGGATGACCTCCTCAATTTCAGTTGGAGTTAAGGCCTGTGTTGAGATCGAGACTTGAAAGTTGTGAAGCTTTGCTGTCATCGTTCGTCGTTGTGTTGGACAGATAAAACTAGGAACAACAACTTGCTAATTCCTGAAATAATACTTGAGATCTTTAAAGGATCTAATCACTTCTTTCGTTATGAAATTTAATCGCTTCCAAACGTAATCGCGAACTTGTTATCACTTTTTATAAAAGTGAACTAGAACATGCTAACAATTGAACTCAACTAGTTTCAAGGCTGTCATCCTAATTGTCCAGATGTCAGTTTTCGCAAATTATCATCAAAGTTTCATTTTTTAACTCACATATTTCTCCTCCAGACTTTAACGTGTACCATTGTACCAACACACATACATACGTATGATTAATATTATTCAACTAATTATTATAAACTTACCTGAATACCAGCCACACCTAAAACTACACCAGCTAAAACGAGAGTCTTTGAGTCCAAAATATGCAAAAGTTTGTGAAAACAACCATCGTTATTGGCATGAGCAATAGTGCAAACTTCAGCTTCATTAAGATTAATGACGGGACAACAAGACGAGGGTATAGTTTTATTTGGGAAAATAGCTTCCCAATCAGCAGGTCCATAAGTACCACAACAATCCAACTGTACGAAAGAAAAGAAACAACAAACAAAATCAGCCATTAAAAAACACAAATTGCAAAACAAATCTTTAATCCAACTCACCTCTGTTTGCAATAGAGTCCAGCCATCACGATAATGTTCTCGTTCGTTGTAATATTTCATAGTATTATTAAATTGTACTTCCATTATCTGTTGCAGACCGGCATGTTTGATATAGCCAGCTATACCTAAACCAATCTCAAAGAAGAATATAATTAAGGCCAATATGGCAAACGATAAAATCATGCAACTGTTTTCCTTCAAAGCACCACAACAGCCCAAAAAACAGATAAAGGCCACAATGGTGCCTACAATCATTAGTATTATGGGTGCTGTCCATATATGGTCACTAACAAAATTCGAATAGTGAGCATAATTAAACTGAACCATGGCACCCACTAGCAAGATTAAGATGCCCGAGAGCTGTAAATGTTTCGTTAAAATTATTTTATTTAAATTGAAAGTTTTACTATATTTTCATTCAATACTTACGGCAAATAATAAATTGCAAAAAAATGTTAAATATTTCACACATGTTAAACCGCCAGAAGCCATTGTCTATTATTTGTTATATTAAATTCAATCTGAAAATTAAATAGAAAAAATAACAGTTTTTATTAATTGCCAAAAGTACAATTATGTGTCTCTTCATTAACAAGTAATTTAAGAATAAATGTTGCCTTTAGATTTAAAACCACTTCAATACCACATCATATTCTCCACAAAACTGAACGCACACAGACAGCTAGACTTTGCTCAAATGCTCCCCCAAAAGCACACATTCTTGTTCACGCATGCCACAGAAAAGTAGCTCATAAAATGACAATAGGTAATGACGATGTATTGTTGTCTTTAGTTAAGTATGTGTGTTGGAATAGAGTGTGTCAGCAAGTTGTGTACGATTATCGAGAATTTAAATATCTAAACTAGAGAGATTGACCAAGGAAAACAGAAACGTTGAAATCTTATCTCAAAGAACGCGGAAAAGATAAAGTAAATGGTAGTTATGAGGAGCCCAACATTTGCAAACCAATCTTGGCTCTCTTATTTCTCTTGGTATTTTTTCTAATATCCTTCAACAAAGTAGACTTCCAGCGGAGGACGACGTATGACTATGAAACGAGCGAACCATAGCGAACGGAAAGTCCTTATATGCGTGGGATCACATCCTCCGAACTACCGAACGATTTCATCAATCAGTACTGATCCTCCCATCTGGATCATTCCGATCAATGACTGCCCCTTAAAGGCATACATCCAGGCTGGTTGACTTCTTCATCTCCATGCTGCATGAAGAGCGTTGATCATCCCCAGATCTGGCTCTCTTAATTGTCTCCTTACGGGGGCCCTTAGAAGTGCCTGCCGGGGGTGGACCAGACCTCTCCGGGTTGTTTAGTGACTTTGACACCACTAGTTTGGAGGATCGGTCTCTACCTGAGCGTTTTCCCTTACTGACCTCCTGGCAGAGATCAATAGGAGAGCGGGCTGGAAGTTTACCAGTCCTCTTTACCTTACCTGGTGTCCACCGTGCTAGGGATTTTAGGTGGTAAACTTTTAGCCTCCGCAGCTTGCTCCGAAGACATGAGCGCATTAGCTTTTGGGATACCACCCTCTTTGCCTTTTAGCCGACTCTTTCGTTCTGCCTATATTAATAATGTCACGTGGAGGGGCGCTCGACTTCTCCTTCACGGCTACTTGCCGAACGACCTGTGGACGATCTTCTCTCAAATGTACCCTTTGGATTCCCTTGGCCTCTTCAGTAGTGGATGTTATCTTATCAGTCTGACTGTTAGTAAGCTCGTCGTCAGACAGAGACAAATTCCCCAACTTCTGTGTGGCACTAGTTTCACCAAAGAAGTCACTCCAGAAGACCTTCCACGTTCAAGTCGGTCAGTATCTGACCTTCATGCTCAACAAATCTGGCATGGAGGTCACATTAAGGGTAACGTTACCGTCCTCCCATATACTGTCCACATCCTCGTTGACCGTGACATTCGGTTTGTCTCTAACTAACAGGTCGACCCTTCCGTCGTGTCCCTACTCTCATCCTTAGTTTTTTGTAAATTTGGTTTCTCAATTTTGAATCCCACGATAATGCACGGACTATCCACGCAGCGACGGCGTACGGGGACTAGGCAAGTAGCTTACAATCGCGCTTTGCCATGACGCTGAGAGAAGCTGTTAGCAACTAGCCTCTTTATGCACTGGCAAACCATCCAGGTTCTCGTCACTGCTACCACTCACCTTGACCTTAAATGTGTCTTTATATCGCTATGCCTATCGGAAAAGCCCTTAGTGTATACATACTGACACATACCACACTTACTATCTAGACAAGATGAGTAACTTTTCGTTATACACTTCTTTAAAATCATAGTTTCCCATGGCTAGATACCATAATAAGCTATAGTCACGATGTGTACTTAAGCTCTCGCATCACGACAAGATTGTTGCCTTTGACAAAGGCTCGTAAGAAAGAGTGAGATAAAATGATGTTTTTTTTTGCTAACTTCACAACCTTTCGCTTTTGAATAAACAATAACTTTAAACAATTACTTTAAACAAATCACAACAATAGTTACAATTACACCTTCCATTAAAACACCCTGTTGAAACATTATTAATACTTCAATACTGCACTCACACCTCTTTTTTCCTAAGAGGACTACTGTTTATATGACGTTTAAATGAATGTGACATTACTTTTCTTTTCCGTTCATCGTTTATGGATGTTATTTGTGTGTAGTAAGAGAAACAGTTGCCCGCCAATAATAAATCAATACTTGCAAAAAAAAAAAACTGAAATATCAATGTTTCATATGTGAGAATTAACTCATCGATACTAAGTAGAGTACATATTAAAAACAAGTGTACAACAACAAAATAAATAACAAATATAAAACTTAAATACCGTTGCTACTCGTCATCTTTTTGCTTGACATCAGTGTGGTCAATTGGTGTTAAAACCTAATATTTTCAAATTTCGGTTTAGTTGAAATACAAAAAAGGTGAAAGTGTCTTCAAATGAGTCTTAATTCGTGATTCGATTGAAAGTACTCTAAGGACTTTGTCCTATATCCTCAAAAATACTAAATCTAATGTTTTACAAATTTGAACTGATTCTTAAAATATTTATAGGGGTTTACATTAGAATATCGACTACATATTCCTAATACTCAAATCTCTTTCGTAGCTTTATTTATGGAAATTCGCCATGAAAACTTCACTTACATATGTGCATTCTTTTATTGTATTGATTGTCAGCAAATGCGGCATAGATGGAAAACTTTCTCATATCTAAGTGATCATTTAAGGTACCTAGGCTTCATTAATCTCTTGCCTTTCAATCTCCGATCTGCCAACATTGTATCTTACTATTAGACCTCAATTGGGCGTAAAGAACGTTGGACGTCTTCCGTGTTTTTACAGTCACAACGAAAATCTATTAACCAATTTTTACTGTTATATTTTACGTTCCTCGAACTGGCTAAATTAGGTTCGAACCTTGATATGGATGACAGAGAAATTATGGTAAAACCACCAATCTGTCACTGTTATAAGCTGATATTCAAAAGAATCCGTGACATCATAAACCTGGAATAGCAGATTGGATTGCAAAGTATTAAAGGCCCTATGGCCAAAACTTGATATGGGGACTACCAAAATACTTGTAGGACTAGATAAACGCAGTCTAAGGATTCTGATAGAGATACTTAGGGCCTTTGTCAGTAAGTTATGCGAAGATTATAAGGAAATAGAGACGTTCGAACATATAATTTGCTACTGTCCTAGGATACAGAATCTGAGGCTGAAATGGCTAGGGAATAGGTTCCATGACTTGACCCTCGCAGTCTACTAGGTTTTTGTCAATGGAATTAGGCACTTCTTTGACTGGGCTGTATAGGGTGACAAAGATTTTCTCTCTCATCACATTACCCTCTACGGGTGGAAGGAGTCCCGCATACTCGTTCATCCAATCTGTGTGCTATACACTTGACACCACTCCTTTGCAATGTATCTGTTGTCCATCTCGAAATATAGATTTCACCGCGCATCAGTCTTCTAAACAACAGTCTCTTCCCGTTCCCACGACAATTGGATCTTCGCTCTGGAACGACCCGAGTCATAGTCGGCCAAAGATTGTCAACCCAGCGACAGCTGTATCAACCGAAAGTTTTTTCCCCAGGTGAGCAAAACATGTCAGCAATTTTGCTCAAACTCCTCTTAATTATAGCCGGCGTTGAACAAAATCCAGGACCTGATATCTGGTTTTGTTCAATATGTCGTGAACGCATAAAGCGTAACACCACCTCAGTCCAATGCACCGTTTGTAATAACTGGTGTCACCTGAAAAGGTACTCAGGACTCACCAGCCACCGCGACTGGTCCCCTAGCTTCATTGGAACATGTTGTAGTTCACAGCCCCAAAACCCCCGCACTAATCCCCCTACAATTACGATCCCACAATCCCGTGTCCAAACTCCACCCCCGGACTGAATATTGTCCAAACAACATCCCCCGGACCAAACATTGTCCATAATAGAACCCCCGGACACAGCAGATCATAACAATTACGTTGGAGATGTTCTGTCTGTCAGAATGTAATTGGTAGGAACATAACATCAGTTCAGTGCAATGGCAGTAAAGACTGGTGCCATATGAGAAGATGCTCAGGTTTACGCTCGCACAAAGACTGGGGTCATAGCTTTTTAGCTCCCTGTTGTGTAAATAATCCCCCGGCGACAGTTGCCACCCCAGTCACACCTGTGCAAAACATCCCGCGCAAGACTGTGCACACTCACCTGAATCTTCCCTGCGATATCGGATTGTGAGAGACAATTACCCAGGCACTCTAGAACCATCTTGGCATAATTAAGAGCCGGCTGGTGCAGTTTCCTCAACTGCTACCGTAAACGTATCTTTAAATCTTTGCCCAGCCTGTCATCAAAGTCCTCATGACACGGTGCATTTATTCAATTGTCCCGCTGGGTCTACAAATTTGCGCTCCATAGACCTATGGTTAAGACCGACTGAGGTGGCGCAGTTTCTGCAGCTCCCCCTTCCACCCACAGACACAAACTCAAATAATTAAATATCTATTCCCAGCAAAAAATAATTGATGTCATACTTTACAAACGACATCTTAATCACGTCTAAAAATGCGATTGCATATTTTTCGCTTCTATAAACCAAATATTTCCTTACAAATAAAAACCGAGTTAAAAGTGAGGAAAGAGATGTTGAAAAGTCACTACAAATAACATATTCGAAGTACATCAAATTTTGGTGAAAATCCAATGAAATTTACATAAGCGTGTCATTGAAAGAATGTGGTTTATTTTTGACATCCAAATATCGGATTTTTACTGCATCTATGAATAAGATTAGATGTAGTTCAAAGTTGTCAAAAATGAACAACATCCCTCCAATGACACGCTAATGTAAAATTCATAGGTTTTTCATCAAAATTGGAAGTACTTCAAGTATGTTATTTGTGGTGAAAATTATACTTCTTTTTCCTCACTTTTTTTGATGGGATACCTTACATCCAACATCGTTCAACCCAGCATACTTCTCAATTATC